ATGGCATCCATTTGACAAGAGAAAAATGCAAAATATATATTTTAGATATAATTTAACATAAATAATATATTACATAAAATCTAAAACATTTGTTTATAATCAGAAATTTTAAAACATTTGTATAAAAATCTTACATATTGTATTTAAATCTAAGCTATTTATATCAAAAATATCTAAAATATTTTAATATAACATGTAGTTCTGTCATTTAAATCGTCAGTCATTGAATTTTTTTATGATTTTTACTAAGTGTGAACTAAAAAAAAATTTTGTTCTAGTCTTTTTTAACTTTTAAAATATGTGACAAGTTAAGAGTATTATTTATTGCGTAACTACATTAATAATTTTCATTAACACTTGCTTATCACCACTTCCATGTGTCTGTATATACATGTAAAATATTTTTACTTTTCCAGGTTAGATATGTAACTCTGAACATTGCTTTTACTTTGATTCATAAATAATTTACAATCGCACACGTAGTTTAAGTATGTTTGTACATATATGTTAAAAAATTGTCAGAATTCTGGTGATTATTAGAACAATAATAAAAACAATAATAAAAAAATGTTTTTTAATTTCATAGTTTAGTTTATTTATCATATAAATTCTTATATTATTTGTTTAAACTTAATATTCATAAAATATGTTGCAATATAAATAAAAACTTTCATAATGCTTACCAACATTAATTATCTTATTAGCTGGCACTAATTGATGTAATATTGCTCGCATAATTTCTATATATTTGTATACGTATGTTAAATGTATTAAAGTTTTCGTTGTGACAATTAAAGCTGAGAATATTTTTTTTGAAGATATCGAGAGTTAATGTAGAATGTTTAGTTATCGAATGTTTAATTATCGTATGTTTTGTTGTAGAATGTTTGGTTATCGGGAGTTAAATAAATAACTTTAAATTTTAAAATAGATTTCATTACAAAATTGTAATAAACAGAACGTGGCATATATTTTTCTCTATAACTTTACTTCAAAATTTAATATGTTAAGTTTATTTGTAATGCTTCATGTTAAATTAATATTAAATTTTTTATATTAAAGTATTATGTTAAGTTTTATATTCAGTAAATATGTTAAGCGTTGGTGTTTAAATATGCTAAACTAATATTTTAAGAATTTATGTTAAGTTAATTATGAATCATTTTAGAGCGTTGTACTCTCCAACGTTACCTATAACCTTTCCCTGATAAACTTTCTTACGCAGTTTTTACAATAACTAGACATGCTTTTCCAATATTTCTGGGATTTAAAGAAATAGCATAGGGATAAATGCGTAGAAAGAAAAAAAAGGGGGAGCAAAAAGGGAATTTTTAGGAACCAGTAAGGGAAGCATCCAAAAAGCATCCTTAATCCTCCGATGCGTAACACTTGGAACGGGAGGAGAGGAAAAAGAAGAGGAATATGTTTATCAAAACAAAAGCCCGACCTTTTTAAAATGTATGAATACGGCAACCTTTCGTTCAGATTCGGAATTGTATGAGGTGGACATTTTCATCCCTCCACCCGATCTTTCTCTCGCTCTTCACCAACCACCTCTCACCGCACTAGACGCCACCGTAAAGTTGTAAATGAAGGATGGATAGAAAGAATAAATTCTTATGCCCCCAACACCCCCACATCTTAACTGAGCCTCCCACGAACTGTCAACTTAGTGATGCAGGCTTCTACGTTAAGGTTCCCTAACAAGCCCAGTGTGCTGCTTTAATTTCATTCACTTAACAAGGGAAGCTGGCGGAGGGCTCTGTGATGATCCATATTAACTTGATAATTAGGCCCCCCTACAGGCCCCCTTCTTCTGCTCCCGCTTATCCAGCACAGCCCCCCTTTTGCTGCTTCGCTTAAAAGCGAACTTAGTTTCTCTCCGCCATTGGAGTTGATGGGGGTGGGAGTAGGTGGGAAGCTATTGCAATGCAGATGAAGAGGTAGTTTCCATATAATTACAAACGAATACAAGAAAGTGCGCTTGCCACACTGAGGACTAACGGACAAAACTCTAGAGCAGCTCGACTATCCGCGAGAGGAAGACGTCGAACAAGTCTGCTCTCCTTTTTTGGACTAAAAATTCTAAAAAAATCTTAGCCCCGTCTATTTTTTATCACTTGAAAGTTGTCTTGAGTTTTTTTTCCCGGTGGTTCGATTTCATCTCGTGGAAGAAGCATCAACGTTCTCGATCTTGGCGCTCTATGGTTTCTACGAAAGCAAATTGATTATACAATATGTATATTAATGGATTTAATAATCAAATGAAGTTTGGCCAATTTTATTTTAAGAGAACATTCACAGAATTTGCTGCAATTTTTATCATATGAGACATTTGAGGAATTGGACAATGGTATGGAGAATTACATATGGAAATGTCTGGAGATTACTACCTAATTAGGCCTCTCTGACCATTTTTGCATATTTTTAAATTACGATATAAAACTATAAACTTGCAAGATATTATTTCACTTAGCGTATGAGAAAAAGAAGATGCAAATGGAATTGGATCTTGAATTTGAAGGAAAAAATTTTTGGTCTCCTCTGAAAAATGTGATATTAGTCTGTAATTTTAACAAAATAGTCTAGATTGGTGTACAAAGCTTTCCCAATTTTTTAAGGCTATTCAAATGAGCTACTTCTCTATGCAAATCTAAGCATATAATTGTAGTACGAAACTTAAATCAGGGCCTTTTTAATTCTTATTGCGAGTGCATCTGATATAAAATGACTTCAAAATCCCTCGATAACCTAATAATACTGATGAAAATATAGGCCAGTATCGAATAGGACAAATAATATGACATCAGAGCTGTGATTGACATTCGTTTAAGGATGACTTAGAACATTTTATCTGAATATTTTCTAAAAAAATTTTAATAAATGAGTTTGTAGTTAGTTGAATTGAAATTAATTCAATATAAGATTTAGAAAAAGAGATATTGTTACCCTCATGGTGTTATGCGACTAAAAGAAGCCTTTTTAATAAGACTTTTTCACCATATGATTACATTGTAATGAATCTATTCCTTTTATACTTTTTTTAATAAGTCTGCCACCAATAAGTGATCTAGCTGACAAGAACCATTAGGTACATTATATGGATATGCTCAAAGATGGTATATTTATCAATCTAATTTGTAGAAGCCTTAAGAATGTCAATAGATCCACTGCTGAGTCTAAAACCAAAATCTGTGTCTTATTTCTTACATTTTAGAAGAACTTGCGAAAATAATGATGAAGAATAAGTTTCAATTACTTTCATAAAAAGAAAAAACTTTCCTGAATCAATATATAGGCTTGTTCTACTTTTGAACAATACCATTGTCAAGTTTTGCCTAAGTAGGACTTAAACAATATAGAGATACGCCACAAGAACCAAGTTTGCCAAGTATGTCAAGATAATTTGAACTTAGCAAAACATTTCAGTATTAGAATTTGAGAGATGGTTTTCGTATGCTATTTATAGTTTTTATGCGAGAAAAATATTTTTAATATGAAGACTATTTTGATGTCACTATGTTGGCACTATCTGTTGGAGAACTATGTAGTCAATGAGAAAGTATTACAATTTTTAAAATGTATAAAGTCAGTTTTAACGAGGAATTTAGGATCTAGGAACTATTTAAAGGAAAGGAAATATTTTTCTTAATTTTTTTATGAATGAATTATAAAACCGTAATTTTAAGAAATAAATTTTAAAAGCATTTTACCAACAATTCACTTTCCTATCAATTAAGCCATTCGTCTCATATTTCATAAATTCTGAGAAGCAGGTTGTTAAGAAATTATTTTGCTTGTATCTTCTGCTGAACTCTAAGAAGTTAGAACTATTAGAAAAGCTTTCGAAATGAGTTAAAACGAAAACTCAAGTGTTTGAAAAATTGAACTCACCTTCAAGTGTGTGGAATCTATTGCCATGAGAAATGGAGTTACTTTTACTGCGAAATAAAATTTTTTCGTTATAAACAAATTAATTAACATATTTTTTAGTAGCGCTGCTTTGCAAATATCAAAAAGTATGCAACCAGAAGCAATACATATTCTTAAATAATGACACAAATGCAAAATAATTATGTTTACATTTTATGAGCATAGAAAATAAAGAAAAATAAGATTTCTACAAAAACGTTTCCGAAGAAATTTGTTGATTTACAGGTATCATATAACTTTGTTATTATAAAAATCAACTTCTTAACTATAGATTTTAAAGTTTACTTTTCTGAATCATGAAAAACACTAATTTACTAACATTTAGTGACTAATATTTTTATGTGAAAAAATATATTGCATCTTATTTTATCTATTGTTTATAAATTTTTAATATTGATGTGTTAGAGATGTTATTCAAATTTTATAGTAAAAATTAATTATAGGTTTTAATTCAAAATGATTTTATTCAATTTAAATCTTTTTGAAAAACATCTAAATGATTTAAATTCTCAAAAAATAACAATCGCAATTATTAAAGAAAATTATACTATTTATTAAGTGAAACTTAATTGGATCAAATGTAAACATTCGTTCATTTATTTTAGGTTTGATTAACTTGCATTAAATCATACTCCAATTTTTAGATAAAAATATAGCAAAATATTTTAGAAAATTTAAGTGCGAATTTGCAAGTAAAAGATCAGAAAATGCAGTTTAACATTTTTATAATATTCTGAATGGCAACAACTTCAAATCATAAAGTATTTCGCAATTCTTGAAGGAAATATTAAAAAAGATAATTCTGAATTCTAAAACAATCCTACTCACATGGGATGGTGTTGCCATTCACGTTTAAAATATAAACACTAATTTTTAATTCTATTCTTCTATTTGATTATGATCTATTCTTTTATTTGGTTATTGTTTCATTTTAAGTTAATTTTCAGAGAAATGGAATAGTTGCAGAAAATGAATACCGTTTTAATTGTAAAATAAATTTACTAACAATAAATTAAAGACAATTTAAGAAAAGATTAATTTGAACTAATTTCACTTTTTTGTTTTAGCACACTGAAGTATTGCAAATAAGAGGAAAGAGAAAACTCAACACAGAGTTATTTTTAAGATCCAGATGGTAAGTTCCTTGTTTTATATTGTCACCAAATATTTATTGTTATACTTTTTTATTGAAAGTTTATAATTTAAAACTTTTTCGACAGAGGTAGTTAATATTGTGATAAATATAACATAATAAGAGAAGAGCATTGAAAAAGCATTAATTAATATTTTTTTAGCACTGAAATATGTGACTTTTATGTAAGATCACATCTGCTTTGTTCAAGGAAAGGTTTATTCTAAAATATCGTTTTTTTTCTCTTCTAAAGACATACACTAGAGAAAAATTAGATGTCTGACTTGATTGTGTATAATCTTATGTAGAAAAATTAGATTATAGAAAAATTAGACAAAATATGAAGAAAAAAAATCTAAAGCAAATTTTTTTTGGAAAATTTGAAGCAAATTTGGTTTGGAAAACTACCTTAAATCAGATAGATTGTCACACCTCTCAATATTTATTAATTATTATTTAATGTAAATTTTTTTTAAAAATGAATGTTCAAAATTTTTGTAAACAAACTGAATTTTTGCAGTTTATAGTTAACAGAGTTTATAGTTTGTTTTTATACACATTAGAGTTTGCACTGCTTTTGTTTTTGACAGCTATATGTTTAATTCGATGCATGAAAAAGGAATAATTTAGTTGAGTTAAGTAGTGACACTCGTCAAAATATCATGTAAAAATATGGTGTAAGAAAAGTAATACACAATTTAATATCTTAAATAAAAACACATTTATTTTTTATTGTAAATACTGTAATGTATAATTTTTTTTTCTCTAATTTTACTAAACGAAATATTAGACTATATGTATTATGTGTTTTATGCATTTGCAAAAAATCATTTTTTCTTTTTATTTCTGTGCATAATCTTATATGAAGTACTTTACAATCCCAGGAATAAAGACTAAATTATCAAAAAATTAAGAATAAAAATCATTTTAATAAAACTTGTAAGAAAATATATTTTCATATTGATACAAAATGTATCTTATCCTTGAAAGTCATTTGCTTGTCAATTTTAAATAGAAAAACCAAAATTTTATTTTTTTATTCCGCTTAATTGGTATTAATGGTTTATGGCAAAATATTAACCTTAGATTTCAAAACGTCTGCATACGTGGCGTGGTTTTTAAATGTGACATGGCTCATAAAAATATATCTACATCGATATATGATGGATACATCTAACTATGATTGACTTAAATAAATATTCACTAGCAATTCTTTCTTGAACCTTTAAATATTGCTATACAATCTTTAGATTAGAAAACAAAAAAAAACGCTCATTATTTATTACTTATGGAGGTTACATATTATTAAATGTAAACAAGTATATCCCAGAACACTTTATTCTGCTTTATACTCCTGCTTATATTTAATTCCTGCTTATGCCCCCTGCTTATACCGCCTACACTTTATTCGACTGTATTTTATTGGTACAGGAAACATGGGGCATTTAATATGTGGTTATTTAGAAATTTAAGCAAATGAATATTGATAGCTTTATACTTCAAATGATAACACAAGTAAATTTAACCAAAAAAACGAATAACTCGAATGGTAAAACTCTTTATAGTCTGTTTCAAGAGTAAGACCCTCCTCAACTAAAAAAATCAAATACCAGAATTCAAATATTAAAGCATAATTAGATTTAAATATAAGCATTCAAATACAACAAAGTTGATACATANTATTAAGAACGTTATTTCATATTATAACATCTAAATGGAAAACTACAATAACCGTCACTTAATATTCTGAAGTATTTAAATTTCGTTATTTAAATTCGATTTAAAAACAATTTTATTAATAAAAAAATTACTTATTTTTAAATTTTTTTATTCTTTGTATAATTTGTTTACAATTTCGTTTCAAAAACAAAACTGTCTCGTAAAGTATAATAAAGCGTAAAATAATGATAATCAATACAATTAAATTGCATGTTTTAAGTAAATTACCAATAAATTCAACGGTAACAAAGTATTTTCAATTTCTAATTGCAGAAGTCTGAAACGTATGAAACTTGTATTGTCGATCAGCACAAACATTCAGAGGATACTTATGTACACAAATTAGTTAGAAAGGGGATGGAGTTTTAATTCACGATTCATTTCTGGTAACAAAGGTCATAACATTTGCTCATAGAGGTCAGAAAATTATTGAAACTTTAATTGTCATTAACAGAGCTAATGATAAGTTTTGATAAGTTATATGGCGATAATGCTAAGTTATACGGCGAAAAAAACGATAAGTTTTGCTTAAAGTGGTCAGGAAATTATTAAAATATGTATTTCCATCAGACACGGAGCCCTAGTAGAAATTTGATAAAAATGTAAATCGCAAGCTCAAAAAAGATACAATGTAAACCTTGGAAATATTAGTCACGCTCAATCTTAAAAAGGACTAGATATAAATGCAGAAGCAGGCATTCACACATTTTCTAATTGCATATGTGTTTCTCTTATAAACTTTAATTTTAACCATTTATTATTTTGAACCAAATATTAAATAATAAAAAAATGGAAAAATGGACAGTATATTTATCAATATTTAATAATACCCTGCAAACTTCACCTAAATACAATCCCCGAAATAATAAAATAATGTCGTAAAAGTCATTAGCTTTCATACAATTAAAGAATTTCTTTTTGTTATCAAATCGCTCTTAAGATAAATAGTAATAAATGGTGAAAACATACCTTACAACGTAAAAACACGGCGAAGGAAAAAGGCAGCAAGCAAAAGAAAACTATCACAAAAACCTAAGAAAAAAAATAATAACGCATAAAACCATCTTCCATGCGTAAATGAATGTAACAAAAAAACATGTTTTAGTAGAAGAAAAAACAATCTACTTTAAGTAAAGAATTTAGAAAGATGAAACTCTTTATGAAGAAGAAAGCTCATGAGAAAATAAAAATTAGAAAGAAGTGTAATTTGTAAACATATTCTAAGTTACACGTTGACTTGATTTATGATTTTTTTCTCTTTCAAATCAGATAATGTCTTTCTTTTTTAACATTTCTGATTAGATATTCTTGAAATGAAAAAAAAAGAAAACATTAAAAATGATTTTATTAAAGTAACCTTATAATAAATTCTAACGAAGTTAAAAGAAATACATACATTTGTTTCATATATTAAAGTAACGACATAAGTAATTGAATTATTACTATATTAATTATTTTTTAAATATTTTAATTCCTTTTATATATATATATATATGTTGTTATTGCTATAATTTTTTAATGTTTCGTTAGTAATTATTAAATACTACTCATGTTACATCTGTTACATAGAAACACTAACTATGCATTATAAATATTTCCTTTTGGACGAACTAATAAAACATTTAAAGTATAAAGCATTATCGTTATATGTAGAAATCTTTCTAAATTATTATATGATTATATATTTCAATTTTTAAAAAAAATAGTTTAGTTATTTAAAATTAGCATTTAACATTTATATTCATTGGTAAAATTAATAAATTTATTCGAATAACTAATATAAATTTATTATATTTATTATTGTATGATTTATTTATTTAGCAATTGGTATTTTAAACTCATACAAGCTAATATTTTTTTTATAAATGTAATATAAATTTATTTTATTTATTGTTTTATGATTTATTTATCCAGCAATTTGGATTTTAAACTAATACAAGCTAATATTTTTTATTCGTTTTATTTAATTTTTAAAATTTGTTACAAAACAAAAATAATTACTTATAATAAATAATACTTTTTTATAAATCCGTAAAATAATAATATATGTAGGTGCCTATTCTAATAAATATCATATAACAATAGCTATTGTGTTTTGTGAACATTATTGATATTAAGAATAAAATATGTCACTAAAATTGTTTTTAGAATAAGTAAATGTTGATAATCGATTAGTTAGTATCCATTAGTTAGATGATTAGTAATATTCATCAGTTATATGAAATTTTTATCTGTTTTAAATATATATGTTGCCCCCAGTTTAAGCACAAAATGTACATTTGCGAATGTATTTCAAAAAGGTTTTACGAAATTTAAAAGAAAATTCTCGAAACATAAAGAATTTAATATAAAGTTCAGAAATAATATTTATTCATTATATAAAACGTTTTTACATTTAAATATTAGTATCACAAAGAATTAATTTAAAACTTTATATACAATTTAAATATTATTTTAGAAAGAGCTATATAAAATGTTTGTATAAAATTGTATTATGACTTAGATACTAGCTATACAACGAATTTCCAAACAAAAAATAATAATTTGCATTTTAAATATTTTCAAGTTAAAACTGTGGGGTAAATTTGTCTAAAACTAGCTTGAAAAATTTATTTAATATATAAACTTTATGAAGGTGTTGAAATCTAAACCTACACAAATCACTTAATTTTATATAAATTTGATGATTTTTATGTTTTATTATGAAAAAATATGTATATATTTTGAATAAAGTAAACTATCTATTACTCAGACAAAAAATAACGATGGAAAACAAATAATATCAAAATGAGTATTAATTTCAAAATTAATATAAATTTAATAATGTTCTATACTAATTGCATAAAAAAAAATTGGGGGACCTTCTTTAAAATTTTGTTACGTAAAATATTTTGACTCAAATTACATGCATGCCTGAAGCAACAAACATGAATAAAGGTTGCATTAAATAAAGAAAAAATATAAGCATTATATTCAATTTAAGGTCAACATAAATTGTTTTATCTAAAATTTTTTTAAAAGCAATATTACTGTAAAAGAAATTATTTCTTTCTTTAGCAATTTATAAAAGTAAAGTAATAAATAGTACATTCGTAAAGTAATGAGAAAAATATGTTAATAAATTATTTATCGGAGTATTTAGAACATTGTTAAAGTATTTACAGAAGTATAATATAAGTATAATATAAGGCAATAAAAGTATAACATAAGGCAATAAAAGTATAATATAAGGCAATAAAAGTGTAATATCAGGCAATAATGAATAATATACGTTTGTTAAATATTAATTAAACTATTATAGCAAAGTATTTACTGCAGTATATTCAGTAATGGATAAATAATATTTATTAAGCTTTGTGCAAAATATATTATTAAACTAATTTCTAAAATAGATTAGTAAACTACACTAGTGACATTTGAATCATTTGATTCTCATTATTATCCCTGAAAAAACAAAGAAACAACCATTTAGGTTTTATTTAACTAATCGAAAAACAAGGCAAGAAAACAACTCAACTCACACGTTTCATTTTGATTTCTAAATAAAATTAAAAATTATACATAAAATCCTGGCATTAATGATACATAAAATCAAAGATGTAAAAACAAAAGCACGCAAACGAAAATTCTCTAAGAAATGTATAATACTACAGACCTCTCTAGAGCTAGTAACGAAGAAATAAAAATACGAGACAAAATGGTTAGAATAGCTATATTAAGAACGATAATTTCGATATGTGCATACAATTTTTTCTTGACAATTTAAACTATTCTTTCAGAAGGAATCATTTATGATATCAAAATAACAATGTATAATAATATTTTTTAATTGCTCAATTTGTAGGCATTTTTTTAAAAAAACTGTAATTCTGAAATAAGTTATACTCTAAAAATAAAAACATTGTCATAACGTTTAATAATATTTTCCTCAGAAATTCGAAAACAAACGCAACAAGTATGACATAAAACGTGCAAGTTTCATAATTAAGGGGAATAAAGTCTTACAAGTTTTACATTTGATCTCTTTCGTAACAATTAAATTCCAAAATAATACAAACAATAATCTAAACAGAGGAACATTCAAAAGGATATAATGATTATTGCCTAATTCTCTTTTCTCACATCCTTTCCCAAAATAGCACACATTTAAGAAAATAACTGATGTAAGATGAATATAAGGCAATAGTTTCAAGTAAAATGTCAAAATACACATTTTTACAGATAAAGCAGAGACATTTTTAAAAGTCATGAATATTTTATAACTTTATGCATACTTTACCTAAGATTTCCAAAATTAACATCTACAGAATAATTAATTAATGCACGATACATTTAGATATTATTTATACTGAAATAAAGTTTAATTGATCAAATATTATATTATCGATAAAATTAATTTTATAACTTTTTTTCTATAAAAAAAAACGCGACACATTTGAATAAAATATCGAAATGAATAGCATTTGAAAGGATTTCACATAAAGGATACATTTTTGTTTTTAAAATAATTATTTAAAAAAAAACATTTTTTTATTAAAATGAAATTATTAAAACTATAATTTGTTTTTCAAACTAGTTAATGTATTGTTCTTTAGATTTTTTTTGACACGTACCAAATATTACGTTTAATATTTTATTTTATATTATATTCTATTTAAAAAGGGTTTTTTTAAAAATACATATTTGCATACTATATTATTCTTACTTATTATTTTAAATCCATAGCTTTATTAATGAAGTAGAAATCTTAAAGTATATTTCAATTCTGCATTTTAATGCATTAAACTCGTAGTCCTTTATTTTATGTATAACATAGATATCGTTGACATTAAAAAGTGATTTACTTTATTCCTTCTTAGATTATATATTCTTTATTAGCTGTTACGGTTTTTCATGTTAGACCAAATACATATTGTACATTATATACAACAATAATTAAATGTCATAAATAGAGATTGGTTATATCTTTACTTGTAAAGTGATTAAAAAAATATTGCCAAGTTCTCCTAAATTTCAAAAGTTTGTGAAGATAAGAAGGACAAAAAATATTAAATCTTTTATTTTCATATCAGTTTAAAAATGTGTTTAGTTAGATTCTTCATTTTAAATGCAAAAGAAGCGCTTTTGTATTCCGTGCATGTTTTTTTAAATATTAAGATTAAAGATCAAATCCATTTTCAAGTAAGCTTTAAAAAAATCCTCAGTCTGCATTTCCGATATTTTTTATTCTTGTTTTGCTTTATTTTTTATCACAATTCAAATTTATTATTTTAAAATAGGTTATTTGAAATTTTCTAATTTAGCACCGCTTAACCGTATCTGGCTCTTTAACTATAAAACTCTACATGTAATCAAGCTCAAAGAATCTATTTTTTTCAATTGTATTATTCTGGTATATACTCCATTAGAAAAAATAATATCACTTTTACTTGCTCATCTTTTAAGTGATAGAAATCAGATAATTTGAAAACAATAATTCACAAACTTTATTTTGAGGGAAATTTTAACATTTTAAATAATTCTAATCCACGATTATGAATTTTTATTCAAGTAGTAAGCAATTTATTTATATGATTATACATGTCATACTACTCCACAAATTTAAAAAAAAAAATCTTACCACCTATTATTTCTTTTACACTCCATCCTAAAGATATAAGACCTCTTTACGCAATAAATCAATAATATAGACATCAAAACACTTTAACCTACATTTTATTTCTGAATTCCTTCACCCTAACACAGTTTGAAAAATAAATTTCCACTTATTTGAATTATTATCATCTGATTTAGAGCTGAATCACTTACTAAGGAGTTAGTACGCACTCTTCGTCATATTCCAAAGGGAAAAGCACCCGCATTCCCTGCGGCTCTACTTTCTCCCGCCTTTCTTCGGTTCGTCAAGGGACTGGAAAATATCCCCGACAGCGATGAAAGCCGGATTCTCGACTTTTGATTCTCGCGGGAAAGGAAACGATTCTCGCGGCAGTAAACAAGTCTTCTTGACGCCGAAAGGACGTCTTTTTTTTTCTTTCAAAGTCGTATTGTTTTTTTTATTTATTTATTTAGAATCAGGTTTAATTAAATATGAGATTGTTTTCATACGTTGGTTTTTTTAAGAGTTTTCATGAAAGATACAATGAACCTAAATTTAAAATTTTTCTTCTTTAAATCGTGTTAATGAAACTCTTTTGCATTTACAGTTTAGTTTTAAATTAATATTTTACCAAAATAAATACATAAACTATATTGCTATTAAATCTTGCTCCTTGAAATGTGTTACTTAATAAGGAATTAATTTTGATTTTGTAAATTATAATTTCACCCTAAGAAAAAAGGGGGCTAATTGATGAATAATTACAAATTTATATATATATTTTTAGATAAATCTTAATCGATCGATTTAAAAATCTGTTTTTCATCCATTATATTAAATCAAAGTTTAAAATTCCATTTTTTTTATAAATGCATTAGTAATATAATTCTTATAATATAATTTAAGTGCAGTTTTTGATATAAAAACAACAATTTACATCAGGAAGTTATACAAATCTAATGTTGTATTGCTACTAAATCTTGTTCTATAAAATGCCTTATTTAACGAGACATTAACTCAGATTTCAAAGTTATAGTTTTATTTAAAGCCATTAGTAGAACATATTATTATTTTAAATTACAATTTTATTTTTTTGATAAAAATATAAAATGTAGATTTAAAGTTTTTGTGAAAAAAAATCATTATTAAATTAAGTTAATAGCGAAATAAATAAAAAAACAAATAAATTTTCGTTCAATTATTAAAATTTCAGCAAAAGAAAAGGGGAATATATATCATTGAATATTTTTTCTTTTATTTACATTTTTAAAACAGAAGTTTCTGTGTTGACTTTAAAAATGTATAGCTTTTAAAGCAATTGAAGTAAAAAATTACAATTTAAAGTTGATTTTAATGTGGAAAAATCACTCATCTATACACAAGAAAAATACATACAGTACGAATTGAGATAAACATAGATTTTAACACAATAGTGTTCACACAGTGCTCGAAATTGTGCGTTAATCTTTAGATTACAATATAAATTGTTATAGAACTAAATTGCAACGGATTTAATTAAAATATTTCCATAAAATTATTCCGTTTGTTTTTAAATCATGCATTCTTTCATAAGCTATAATGTTATGGTTCATAGGAGCTTTATATCATAACAAAGTAATTAAAATCATCCACAATTGTTGTAAAATATATTTTTTCTAATAATTTTAGTTTGTCTCATTTACGTGTACAACGTTAAAATTTCATTTAAAGCAGGTAATACAAGCAATAGTTAAGTAAAAAAAAGTATTCTGAATTTGAAATTGAAAAAATAATAATGTAAATTTAATCGAAACCTGTTAATGCTATATATTTTCTCTATATCAGTTTATGACAAAAAGTAACAACAAATGTATAAAATAAGATAATTTTAATTCTTAACAACTAAACTTTTAAAATAATTTCATTGAAATATTATTTTGAGAAAATGCACTTAATACTTAAATAATAAAAAACCTTTGTTATTTAAATCTTTTACTTAAGAATATTTTATTTATTTTAAACTCACGATGGTTAAATGTATTTTATTCATTATTTCATCACAAATAATTCTAAATTTATTGAAAAAAAAATAATTTAAGTTATTACACCACTTTGAAGGATGTAACTTGCATTTAGTTTTCTGCCGTTTATATGTGCTTCTGATAAAATTAATCTTTAATATGGCCTTGAAGCTAAGAAGAAGGTTAGAAATATTTTCAGTTGAGATTAAGAAGTTATTAAAATTTATTAAAAATAATTTAGAAATGGAATCTTACAAAAATCATTACTAGTAAATAATTTAAAGATATTTTCTTGGAGTATTGATCTCTTGTACACAGTAAAAATTTTTGGTGTGTTGTTAAGCCCATTTTTGGTAGTGAGGTAAATTGAATTTTTTTATAGTGCATGTACCCACATTTTCCATTTTGTTCTTCATGGTTAGAGTTTTACTTATTCATTTGTTCATTTATTTATTGAAAACACGTATTTTCATTCGCATTAGTATCAATTTCTGATTTTATTGCAAAAACATCACGTTTGAAAAAATAAATATCTTTGCACTAATAATTTCAAACAGTTGTTATTTTGTTAATTTTATATGTTTTTTCACTCGATAACTACAGTTCTGTACTTTAAAATGTACTTAGTTTACCTAAGTACCAAAAATAGTGTCAGCTATACACCAAAATGTTTTACAGTATATAACACTTTCCTGGAATCTAAAATGAAATCGAATGCTAAATGAATAAATGCTAACCGAAAAGACTAAATGTAATTAAATTACAGCAAATTAATGAAGCGGAAACATTTTTTCCTATTTTTATTACTTCTTAACAACTATTTATTATTTTTATTGCTTCTAAACAGTTATTCTATAAGTAGTTATTTTTTTATTGAATAAATGATTTATTGATTTCTGGAACTTTGGTTAGCATTTTATCTGAAAATTATCATAAGCATTGAACATTATGTTATATTATGTATACAAAGACCACATATTATATAATAGTACAAGTTTAGCATTATATGAAAGCTAAACCATTCACACATAAATTTAAGGTACGATAATATTTCATGCAATTAATAGCCCTGAAATATTTTGATCTGTTAAATTACTAAAACAGATATTCTAAAAACTAATTACTCGTACTGAAATCTCACTTATCGAAAAATTCCAGTAGAAAAATACATTGAAAAATATTTTTTTTCTATGAAAAAATTCAAATTCGTCATTATTAGAGTTAAGTTCATCATAGTATTTAAAAAAAATATTTAACTATCTCTTGAATCGTCATGAAAGGAAAATAGCAATGAGACATACACTAAACAAGGGAAGTGTATCTATAATTTAATAGAAAATGACAATTTGTGCATTTTTTGTATTTAATTCATTCCAAATGAATAAGCAAATAATAGATAATGATGCAAGGCATATAATTGATGCATTTTTATTTTGATCACGTGTTTCATTGCCAATCGAAATTATCTTTCAGGAATTAGAAACCTTGCTGTTTTTCTAAATAACACGTAAAAAATTTTTTTTTACTATATATAAACTCAATATAAATAAAAACATTTTGCATATGAATAATATTTGTGAATGAATGATATTTATTTATCTTATTTAGGTTATAAATTAATAAAACTTTTGGGTATATAGGAATATACTTTGTTATTGGTTTACAAATTGTAGTATTTATTTAAAAACTATTACAAATATTTTTATGCCTATTCTACTTACTATTTTACTTAATATTTCACTTACTATTTCAACAATTATTTTTATGATAAAATGAAAATAACACATTATGTAAGCAACACGCAAGCGTAAGTTATTTATAATATGGCATTCAAAAAACTATTGTCAGTGAAAAAGTTTTTTTTCATTCTGAAACCATATAACCCTTTAATTTCGGAAAAACAAGCTATATTCTAGAGTAAATAAAGTTAATTTTTTGATAAAATAAATCATATACATATTTTTTAATAAAAAATAAAATAAATGTTATGTATTATTGTTTTATTGTTTGAACATTTATTAATGTTTTATATTAATGTAAGAACTTTTATTGAGTGTTTATATATTTTTATTGTTTGATTATATTTTAACAGCCAATAGTAGTAACTAATGAATGGAGTTGTAGCATTCCCTATTCAATTAAACATTCCATTTCAATTTCCTTCTCTTTTCTTAGTCCACAGCAAACAACTACAAAAGATTACAGATTCAAAAAAACTAAATATTTTAAGAAGATAATTTTCGATTCGAAGACGATCAAGATGCTTATAATTTCTCTTAAATATTTAAATAGGGATTCGAAATTTTAGTTTTTTGATACTATACTTCAGAATATTGTAACTTTAAAAGATTCAGAATGAAACACAATTTTTTTAAAAAGATTTTAAAATTATAATAGTACAAAGTTTTTAAAAAATTTGAATATAAGAACAAATCTCCTACACTATCCTTCTTCAAAATGAAGAAAACAGTTTAGTTGACATGATAAGGGAACTTTCTGAGAATTATTCCTAAAACTAATTCATTAAGATTAAATGAATATTTATTTAAACATACAATAACATAATTATGATATAAAATGTATGAAACTACCAATATCACATAACCATAAAACAGCTGTATTTTAACCACTATAATCTTACAGCTATTAATATTTATATAATCATGCAACTATTAATATTCATATATTATCGTTTAACCATATAATCGTAGTATATTTAAACCACAGGATGAACCTTTTAATCATTTTTATTAATTAAACTTAAATTACATTTTGATAGCCTTCAAGATAATGAAACTAAAGCAGTAACCGTAGCTGGCGAGCAGGGAATCGAAATCTTGAACAATTCTCTGTTAGAATAAAAACACATTTCGTTTCAATTTTTCATTTTACCACAAACAACTCCAGAAGATTTCAGTTTTAAAAAATGAAAAAGTTGAAGAAGATAACTTTCACTTTTGCATCAAGTCGCTTACAATATTTTAAAAACCAAATCGCTGCAAAATCCTTAAGCAGAAAACGACTACCGAGTTTCCCCTTAAATTGTTCCACTGCAGAGCAGAAAACAAGCGGGAGAAGCGCAATTTACGGAAAAAGAATATAACACACCCCCTTTTCTTACTACCACTATTTTCTACTAAGAACATACCAGCTGTGTCTATTCGCATAGTTCTTCAGAGCGCAAAAGGAGGATGGTAAGAAATCCTTAAGCAGTAACATCACGATTCGCATAGAGTATACGTGCTGTGAATCGTCTGCTTTGCGCAAAAGAGTCTCTGTATAAATCGTCTGCCTTTTGTATATTATTTTATTTGTTCCACATCCTCCCTACACACCAGATATAGCTCCATGCTCCTTA